TCCCACTCCCTCCCCTCCACTCCACCCACTCCCCACCCTCCATCACTCCCACCCTCCCTCCATCCACCCATCCCCACCCCTCCCTCTATCTCTCCATCCCCACACACCCCTCTATTTATCTCACTCACACTCTCCTCCATTGCTCTGTCCCTTCCAGCCCCCCTCCATCCCCGGATCCCACGGGAACGCGTTTCCAAACCCCCTTCCCCGGCCATCCCCGAGGTGTGGGGGTGTGGCCACAGGAGCTGCATGGCGGGACCCATCCCGGTCTCACATGGTGAAGTTGGAGATGAAGGCGGAGCTGGGCAGGTCTAGGTCGAAGATGGCTTCCTTGGGCTCGGCGTGGGGGTTGCTCAGGTCGGTCCGAACACGGGTGGAGGCGTAGCGGGACACGATGGTGGAGCGGACGGAGAAGCTGGTCATGGTGAGCTGGGCACAGAAGCAGGGATGTGTAGGGGGTGTCTCCAGAAACCTTGCCCTGCCCATGGCTGAAAGGGGGTGTGCCCGGAGGGCCCCGTCCAGAGCTGGCGTCCTGGCTCCCAGACACCGCCCCGTGCCCCTGTTCTAATGCACAAGAACTAAACATTCATTCTTTTTAGTGAAATCAAAGCTGAAATTCTCCCGCCGCCGCATGACTCCGGATGCAGGCCCTGCCCCACGTAGTTCCTTTTTCCTAGCAAAATCCACCCGGCCCCCGACAGATCGCCCTGCGCTGATGCAAAAGGGGAGAGTCCCGGCTGCACTGGCCCTGGGCTCTGGGTCGGAGTCTGGGCTCACCCAGCGAAGCACATGAGCGGCTGGAGCCCTGCTTCGCTCCAACGGAGACCCAGCACCTCTGCCAGCAGGAAACAGACCAGACCCCAGCTGGGGTCCAGCTCCACGGTCAGTGGGGCCAGACCCCAGCCGGGGTCCATCGGCCAGAGCTCCATGGAGTCAGTGGGGCCAGACCCCCAGCCGGGGTCCATCGGCCAGAGCTCCATGGAATCAGTGGGGCCAGACCCCCAGCCGGGGTCCATAGGCCGTCGCTCCGTGGAGTCAGTGGGGCCAGACCCCAGCCGGGGTCCATCGGCCGTCGCTCCATGGAGTCAGTGGGGCCAGACCCCCAGCCGGGGTCCATCAGCCAGAGCTCCATGGAGTCAGTGGGGCCAGACCCCCAGCCGGGGTCCATCAGCCAGAGCTCCATGGAGTCAATGGGGCCAGACCCCCAGCTATACATCCCTTCTCTTTCCGTTGGCAGAACTCAGTGGTTTTAATTTTTATTGGCTCTTTTCTCTCCCCCGCCCAGCCTCAGCATTGCACACCCATATTACGGCCGCACCAGAAGGTCTCGATCAGGATCAGCCTTAGCTGCGCTAGGTGCTGGATAAACCGACCGAAAGATCCAGCGTCTGCCTTACAATCTAGAGACAAGTGACCCAGCCCAACCGATGCAGACTTTAACCACAGCTGTTGCAATAAGAAGAGTTTTGACTAGGGGAGGAGATGAGATCAGAGTGGTTAGATGACTAGATTGGAATCAGGACTCCTGGGTTCTCTCCCCAGCTCTGGGAGAGGAGTGGGGGCTAGTGGTTAGAGCAGGGAGGGATGGGAGCCAGGATGCCTGGGTTCTCTCCCCGGCTCTGGGAGGTGAGTGGAGTCTAGTGGGTTAGAGCAGGGGGGATGGGAGCCAGGATGCCTGGGTTCTCTCCCCAGCTCTGGGGCTAGCGGTTAGAGCAGAGAACGTGAGGTGCAATTGCGATTTGGAGATGAGAAACAACGACAGGGCTCCTGGGTTTCACGTCTTTTGCTGTAGCCACCAGACCCCAAAACGTAGCAAGGGGGGAAAAAGCCTCAGACTCACCTCTGGGATATGGGGGTGCCCGGTGCTGGGGGCAGGCTGCAGGCACAGTAGGAGACCAAGGGAAAAGAGCAGCGGCTGTCTCAGCATTGGCATGATGAGTCCCCGCAGCTCCGCCGAGAAGCACCAACCTCTGAGATCTCTTTTTTGGACGCACTTTTTAAAGCTTCACGGGTTTTTTCCCCCCCGCACCTCTCAATGTAGCATTCATGCGGACACAGGCTGGGATTGTCCGCCCCTCGGAGGCTGGAGGGAGGCCAGGCCTTCGCTCTCCCCTCCGTAAGATGAAACGAAAACAAAATGTTCAGGCGAGTCCGTGCCCTGGGTTAAAAAGGACAAAAATGTGAGGGGGCCCGCGGCTAGGTCAGTGGAAAGGAGCTGGCCCTGCGTGCCTGGCTGGGCTGAGGAATGGGTCCGGCTCACGGGTTGCAGGTGTGAAGGATTTCCCCGGAGGAGCCCCGGGGATTTCACACCAGTTAGATCCCCGTGATCCATGAGGGCGTTTCTTCCCACTGCTGGGATCATCCAGTCTGCCCTCCCGCACAGCCCAGGCCAGAGGACTGCCCCCCACAAAGGTTGGATGACTGGGGGAAAGGGTTGGGGGCCCTTCTTCTCTAGAGGGCGCCAGCCCCCATCAAGCCCTACGGCGGGGACTGGCTGGCTCAGGGAGGTGGGGAATGGGGCCTTTCCCCTCTAGGGCGCCGGCTCCCATCCAGCCCCAGGACAGGGGGCCAGTTCCTGGAGACCCTCCAAGTTCACGAGCCAGAGGACGTCAGAATTGCCGGGGTTACTTCTTGCGACGCTGATTTCCAAAAGAGGCAAAGGGAGAAAACTCCCGGCGTTGTGATTCATGCGAGATTCTGGGTTTGGCTGCAATGGAGGGGGAGGGAAGCCATGCAGCTCCGGCTAGGTCGGTCCAGAGAGCTAACCGTGCTAACCACCCAGCCCAGAGGAGGCGCCGGGATCCGGTGGCTGGCGGGGCTGGAGTGGAAGCTAGGACATGTGGGTTCTGTTCCTGGCTCTTGTCCTGCCGCTCTCTGGGTCACTGGGGAGAGAACCCAGGAGTCTGGGCCCCCAGTTTCCCGCTCCTCTAACCACTAGACCCCACTCCCATAGCCAGCTTCCAATCCCGCCCCCTTCCTCGGGGGTCTGGATTGGGACAGGAGCAAAGTGGAGGTGAAGGGCTATCGGTTTCTCAGAGCATCCCACACACAGCCGCTCTCTTTGGAGTAACCAGCCCCCGGACAGATGGGCGACCGTAATTCCCAAGTGCCTGCCGAGTGGGGTGGGCTGGGCCAGTCTTGCTGGATTCAGTCCAATTTCTCAGGGCTGCATTCAGCATCACCCAGCCAAGGCCCTGGCCCCCTCGAGCAGCTCCCTGGGCCGGCCCTTCCCCTCCACGCTGGCCAGCCCCCCAGCTCTGATGCCCATTGTAAACTGAGGCACGGGGCTTCTGTGGCAGAACTGGGAACTGGGCGCTGTCCCAGGCTGGATTGTAAGCTCTTTGGGACAGCGACTGTCGTTAATTGTCTGTGCAGTGCCCGGCGCGACGGGGCCCCGATCCTGGTCAGGGGGTGTCTGTGCAGCACTGTGCCTGGCGTAACAGGGGCCCCGAGCTCAGGTGGGGGCATTTCTACCATAACAACAACAAGGTCTTTTTAAAACAATCTAAAGCCAGGGCATTACTTTTTGTAGGACCCACACAAACAAATCCCTCTACGGAGAAAGAAACAAACTAGAGGATTTTTACCAGGGAGGGCTGTTAATCATCGGAAGAACTCACCTAGGGACAGGGTGGATTGCCCGTCTCTTGATGTCTTTTAATCAGGACTGGGTGTGGAAGATCCATCAGAAGCAATGGGCGCTGCCCCAGGATAAACGCTGGACATTCTCCGGCCCGTGTCACCCAGGTCAGATTCAAAGATCTCCGTGACTCCTTGCAGTGTTGAGATCCCCTCCAGAGCTGCACCGATCCCTCGAGGTGGTGGAAGCTAAGCAAGGAAATAAACAAATTCGGAGCCAGGGCCTTTCTTGGCCCAGCACGGCTGTTTACATCAGCCTCTGCCAAAGAGGAGAGGGCCAAGGCTCAGTGAAAAGGCTTCTTCTTTCTTTTTGAAAAAGTCAAAATAACAAAACCAAGGATTCTGGAGCCACAAAAAAGAGGGAATTGGAAAGAAGCTGAAGGAACCTGGAAGGGACGACCCGGACCTGTGAAAGAAATTAGTCATTGACAGGGAAAATGTTATGCCTGTGCTGGTGTCTTGGTTATTTATACGAGCGGAGGGTTTGGAATTCACCCCAGACCAGAGCCGTGCAGGCTGAAAATACCCAGTTTTTAGTCCCAGGGGGCTGGTGACCAAATGTTTTGCATTTCCATGGCACAAACTCCAGCAGAAATCAGGCTCCCATCATGCCAGGCGCTGCCCAAACCCCAACTGAGGTCAGGGCCCCCCATGGTGCCAGGCGCTGCACAGATGCCCGTCACCAACAGGTGCCCCTTGTGCCAGGTACTACTGAGATTGGTGCCCTCACTGTGCCCGACGCTGCACAGATCCCAAACGAAAGTCGAGCCTGATCATGCCCGTCACTGTACATACGCACACTAAGAGACAGTCCCAAACCTGACCACCTAAATAGCCAAAGGCTAGTTCAACCCATTGGACAGGTGGGGAAACTGAGGCACATGGAGACACTCCTCCCGATCTTCTGGATCCCCTTGCAGATCACCCGTCAGCCTTCTGATAACTCTGTCTGCTGGGGTCAGGGAGGGGAGAGGCAAGGGGGGGTGATCCTCACAGGAGCGGCCCATGCCAGGGGATCCAACGGAAGGCGGAGCAAAGGCCCATGCCACCTGCGCCAGGGGGCTGGAGAACGCCGCCCGTTGGGGGTTTGGCTGAGCCGGCTCCCAGCTCGGCGGATCCTGACCTGGTTTGGTTTCGGTCGCTCCTTATTTCGCTTGCCCACCGGCTGCGGCGGCTGGCACCAGCAGAGGCA